AAATCCCAGATCTGGCTGCAGAGATCTCTGGTCTCCGTCCATCCCGACCATACTACCCCCCAATGCTCCTACAGGGGGTGAGAGCTGGACTGGACCCAGAGCCCCCCAAGCATGGGCTGAACCCTCCCCAGAGGGGGTTTCTGCCCCTGTGCCCAGGTGATTTCCCACCTGCAAAGCTGCTCCAACCTTGGGGCCCAGCACAGGCAGGAGCTGGAGCTGCTGCAGAGCCCAGAGGAGGCTCCTGGATGAGCAGAGGAATGGAGCAGCTCTGCTGGGAGGAAAGGCTGGGAGAATTTGGATTATCCAGCCTGGAGAAGAGAAAGCTCTGGGGTGGCCTTTCAGTGCCTGAAATAGCAGGAAAGATGAAAGGAGACAATTCCCAAGGGTCTGGAGTGCCAGGACAAGGGGAAATGGCTTCCCACTGCAGAGGGCAGGGATGGATGGGACATTGGGCAGGAATTCCTCCCAGGAATTCTCCCAGGAGAGATCCTGAGGGTCTGGAGCTTTTCCAGGGCTGGGAATGGAGCTGGGGAAGGGGCTGGAGCACCAGGGAAGGGTCTGGAGAGCTCCTGAGGGATCTGAGTGTAGGGAGGGGCTGGGATGGATTTCCCAGAGCAGCTGTGGCTGCCCCTGCATCCCTGGCAGTGCCCAAGGCCAGGCTGGACAGGGCTTGGAGCAGCCTGGGACAGTGGGAGGTGTCTCTGCCTTGGCTGGGATGGGACAGGATGAGCTTTAAGCTCCCTTCCCACTCAAACCCTCCCATGGTTCTATGAAAAGCCAAGATTTTCACGCAATCCCCTGGCTCCAAATGCCCAGGATTTCACAGCAGAACACTGGGGACAGCGGGGGAATAGGAAAATCCATTTCCCCCCCGTTCTGCCTCTGAAACTCAGAGCAAATGTACCAAGGAACTTCTTAGCTTTAAAAATCTTCACTGGGGAGTTAAAGAGACCTATGCTGGGAAATTCCCTTGTGCCATCAGATCCCAAACTGAGAGTTCTTGTACTGAGAGGTGCCTGGAAATGTGGGATTTTCCTTTGGATTCCTGAGAAGTCTGGATAAAACTTGAAGCAGAAACTCCATTCTCTCCAGCAGATCCTTTGGCAGAGTGCCGGGAATAGAAGAGTTTTGGGATGTTTGGCTTCCCCCTGGAGCACCAGCACCCTCTGTGATGGTCTATGGTCACTGTGGTCATTTTCTACACCTGGCCCTGCCTCCTCCTCTTCCCCTCCTGGCTCCTCAAGGAAAACACAGTTGGAAAATATTTCTCCATCTACAAATAGATCCATAAAAATGATTATGTAAAATAATGAGGTACCTGATCCCAGGCAGGTCATGGTATTGCAGGGCAGTGACTGCTGGAGGCTCACACAGGTTTGGGACTGGGAAGGTTTGGAAAGGTCAGGCCAAGAAATCCCAAGCACAGAACTCAGCTCTGTCCCCCCCTGAGGTGACCCTGGGCTGGTCTCTGTCCTCCCTGGTGTGACGAGGGGCTCAATGGGTTTGTCCTGTGCTGGGATTTCCAAGGTACAGCTGGGTTTGGGCTTCTCCAGGCCATGATTTTACTTCCATGTTGTCCCAGTGGTTTCCCCATTTCCCCACATGATGCAGAGACCCCTCAGGCACTGGGATCAAGGTCGGTGCTCCCAGGTTCTCCCAGATTCCCTGAGCTGGGATTTGGATGCTCCCAGGTCCCTACAACAGGTAAGGGATCAGTGGGTGGGTGTGCAATACTACATCCCAGAGTTGGAATGGGCAAGGAAGGGAATTCCTTGGGATTAACTGCAAATTGTGGCAGAAGTTGTGAGGAGCAGGACCAGGGCTCTGCTGAGACCCCCTCAAATCCTGGGATTACCTTGGAGAGATCCTGAGGGGCTGGAGTACCTCCAGGGCTGGGAATGGAGCTGGGGAAGGGCTGGAGCACCTGGGAAGGGTCTGGAGAGCTCCTGAGGGACCTGGGCAGGGTTGAGCCTGGAGAACAGGAGGCTCGGGGGGACCTGGTGGCTCTGCACAGCTCCTGTCAGGAGGGGACAGACAAGGGAAGTGGCCTCAGGCTGTGCCAGGGGAGTTTTAGTTGGATATTTTGGGAAATTCCTCACTGGAAAGGGTTTTCCAGCTGCTCAGGGCAGGGGTGGAGTCCCATCCCTGGGGGGACTGTGGCACTTGGGGACAAAGCTGTGGCACTTGGGGACACAGTCAGGGGTGAGGAAACGCTTGGGCTGGGTGGTCCCCGAGGCATTTTCCAACCTGGACAATTCCATGGTTCCATAAGCATGGAACAAGCAGCAAGGACAAGGAGGGGATGTGGTGCGTGGAAAATGCTCTGGAGGTTCTGCAGCTCTGCAGAAGGGTCAGCCCAAAGCTGAGGCACCCCAGGGTGGGAGAAGGGGAAAACCTCGTGGTCTTGGGGGTGGAAGGACATGGGAATGCCTCAAATCCTGGCTCTGACATCCAAGTGTGGCCAGTTCAGCGAGGGTTGGGGTCTGGCCATGGCAGCTCCAGGTTCCTGATCCTGCTCGCCAATTCCAGCTTCCCCCGTGCAATCTGGAATGTCTGGGTGCTTTCCTGACAGGGCAAGTTTGGGAAGTGACCCAGCTCCACAGGGAAGGTGAATTTGTGCTCCCAGGAAGACTGGGGCTCCTTCAGCCCCCTGGCTGAGGGGTCTGGGCTCTGAGAGGTGACTTTATATCTGTTATTTACCATAAATGTGTCAGTGTTTTCCATAAATGTGTCAGTATTTCATCCCTGTGTTCAAATTCAGGAGCTAAAAAGGAATTTAAAGCACTTTGTTGGAAAGAGGAGAGCCATTATCAGACATTAAACCGCAGGTTCAGGCCCTGTGAGACTTAAACATTGTCACGGTAAATAATAAATGAAATGCTTCGATCTGGAGAAGAGCTATTGAACGCACCAACATTAATTTAAACAAATAACTGAATTCATCAGTGGCTTTTTCCACAGCAGAGCATGCCCAGGGTGACTTCTGGAAAAGTCTGCTGGGATTTTCCTGCACACATACATGGATTAATTTTCCTTTTAAAAGCATCAAAACCCCCATATGACTTTTAAAAGTGAGCATTTGATAACAGAAATACAATTTGACACTGGGATTGATTTAAAACATGATTTTATTGCCACTGCTGAGAACAGAGGGAATTTTTGAGAAGCCTCTTCTGAGCTAAAATTCAAATTCGCCATCAAGGAGCAAAGGGAAGCAGAGCCCCTGCTTTGGGTGGATCAAACCAGGGCTGGAAATGCTGCCTTGGCAAAGCCCTCTGGGGGTGTTTGCATGATGCCGTGGGTGAACACCAGATCTGGGACAGATCAAAGCTGGGCTCCCTCCTCAGCCCTGCAGCAACAGCCACTCCAACATCTGAGGAAGAGCACGGGAGGAAGGCAAGGATGGATTGGATGGGAGGAGGGGATGGTGTCATGGAGCAGAGTGAAGAGCATCCTGTGCTGGGGGTGTCCTATCTGAACAGGGACAGCACAGGATGCTCCATAAATCACCTTGAATGATCCATAAATCACCTTATGATTGGAATTGGGCCCAGTCTCATTGAATATTCCCATCCCAGACTTTCCAGAGAAATCCTGGTGGGGCTGACACTGGTGGGGCAATGCTGGAGACACTGCTGGGATCCACTCTGGGAAGGGAGAACTTGGGGCAGAGCAAGGGAAATGGGCTTAAATCAATGGCTGAAATGGGGTTAAATAAATGGCTGAAATGGGCTTAAATCAATGGCTGAAATGGGCTTAAATCAATGGCTGAAAGAGCAAAGTTCACCCAAAAACCATCCCAAATTCCTCAGCCAGGCTGAGGACCATGGCCAGGTCCTGAGAGGGCAGAGGGAAGGGGTGGGAGGGGTTTGGAGGGTCTGGAGTGATGCAGCCATGAGAAAGGGATGTGAGAAGGAGGTGATGGAGATGAGAGGGAATTCCTCCCTGTGAGGGTGGGGAGGCCCTGGAATGGAATTCCTGGAGCAGCTGTGGCTGCCCCATCCCTGGAAATGCCCAAGGCCAGGTCGGACAGGGCTTGGAGCAGCCTGGGAGAGTGGGAGGTGTCCCTGCCCACGGCAGGGGTGGGACTGGGTGGGGTTTGAGGTCCCTTCCCATCCTACCCATTCCATGATTCTGATTCTTCACACCTGGAACACACCAAGGGAAGATTTCACACCCAGCGTGTTCCAGGTGATCCAAGGGGAACAGGACCAGAGGAAAGAAGGGAAAACCAGGGAGAGAGAGGAAGGACAACCCTGCTCCAGCAATGAGGTGGGTCTGAGTTTGGGCTGTAACCTGGGTTTGCTGTTTCACAGGAGGGAGAAGTGCAAGTGCTCCCCAGTGGGGCCTGCAGGGACTCATGGCCGTGCTCCCAGTCCCATCTTCCCAGGAAAGCCCCTGTGGGAGCACCTCTGTGTCCTGTGGTGGGTGGGAAATGGCACTTGGGTCCCTTTCACAGCAGAGCCTGTCGTGTGTGGCATTCATGGCTCAGAGTGAGTGCTCCTGCTCCTGCTCCGCTCCTGCTCCTGCTCCTGCTCCTGCTCCTGCTCCTGCTCCTGCTCCGCTCCTGCGTGTGGGCCCAGAGCTGAGCAGGGGCCCGGGACGGGAGCAGAGTGCAGCAGCAATGAGGCATCGGGTGGAACCTCCACACCCAGGGTAATGAACACTCTTCGGGCTCCTCGGAGCTCTCCGGGCGGGAACAGCCCCAGCCAAGCTCCGTGTCCTGCAAGGGGCACGAGGGACAGGGCATCCTGGGGACATCCCTTGTTCCTGCAGGGTTGGGATTGACTGGCTCTCCCCCAGATCAGAAACCCCCCGGGCATGGGGAGAGCTGGGACAGGAGGTGGTGGGACCAGCACAGCATCTCCTGGGAGAGGAGTCAGCTTCAGTGCCCCAGGAGAAACGAAAGGAGAGAGGGGACAGGGGAGATGCTCCTCTGGATGAGCACTAAAACCACGCCAGAGGTTTCCAGCTCCTCTCTCGGCCCAGGGAGGGTTTGGCTACACCTTCTCAGACATGCCCCTGGGCAGGCTCTGGGGCGAGTGCAGCTCCACGGACTGGCGCCGCCGGGCCTCGCGCTCGGCCCAGTCCTGCTCAGGCTCGCAGCCCCTGAGGATGGCCAGGCGCTCCGAGAGCGTTTTGGCCTGTGGGAACAGCACGAAGTTGTAGAGGATGGAGGCCGCTGCAGCCCCAATCAGGGGGCCCACCCAGAACACCTGGAGAGAGGAGGAGAGAAAAGTGGGGTGAGCAAAACCCAGCCTGGCTTTGGAGGGTGGGGAGGAGCTGGGATCTCTGAGGGGCGTTCCAGGGGCTTGGGTTCCCTCCTGGGGACACAACACAGAGTCAGCTCTGCTTTGGGCATGGCTGGGGATCTGAGCTCCCCTCCAGTGCTGGCATATTCCCAACCATCCTCTTCCACCATTCCCCCTCTGCCTAGACTCTGCATTAATGACAGGCCCATTGTGAACGTGCTGAGGGATGTGGCATCATCTGGAAGAGCATTTTCCTGCCCACTCATGGATTGCTGTGGGAGGAGAAGCAGGAGGAGGAGGAGGAGGAGGCACCTGCCTGGGCCAAACACCTTGGAACACATCAGGAACCACCACAGCTGTGCCTCCAGCCAGGCTCTTTGTAGATGAAAACAATGAAATAATGAAATCTCCTGAGCTGGAAAGGACCCACAAGGATCCTCAAAATCCAGCTTCTGGCTCTGCTCAGGACAAGCACCACCAATCCCACCCCGTGCCTGAGAGCATTGCCGAAATGCTCCTGGAGCTCCAGCAGGCTCAGAGCCACGGGCATTCCCTGGGGAGCCAGGGAGTGTTCCCTAAGGTGCACCTAGATCCAGGAACCAGGAAAGTTCCCCAGGACTGGGAACAGCTCCACTCTCCATTGGTTTTGTTCCCTGTGCCAAGCCATGTCAACAGACCTCACACCCTGATCCTGTTGCAATGCTCCCGGTTTGAAGTTTGGAAAAGCCAATTAAGCACCCAGCAGCCGCACCTCCTTCTCCTAATCTCTCCATCTCTCCTCCAGCTGGGAGCTGGCATGGAAATGCCTGGGATTTGCCTGGCTTGGTGAGTTTCGAGGAATACTGGCATTGTGGGGGCCTCATCCACCCCAACACAACCCAACCCCAGAGTTCTCACCCAGTGGTCACTGAAGTCTCCAACGACGACGGCGGGGGCGAAGGACCTGGCGGGGTTCATGGAGCAGCCGGTGTAACGGATCTGCCGGGAACACCACGGCTGCTGTCAGCATCAAACCCTTCCACCTCACTTAAAAAACGCTGGGGTGTCATTAGGGTGACAGCTGAGCTACTGCTGCACCCTTCAGCACTCCTGTTCCAGGAAAAGGCATCCTGGGACCTGCCAGCACCTGAGTCAGCACTGTGAGGTGGCTGAGCTCACAGTGTCCTGGGGTTGCTGTGCTGCAGCCCCGGGAGCTGTGGGGATGAGCTCCCAGTCCTGCAGAAAATTCCCTCTCATGCCCCTGAGGACAGGAGGAACAGTCCCATGGACACAGGGGCTCGTGGGGCACTAAGGATGGAAGGTGTGATGTTGGGGAAGATGAAACAGGAAAGCCTTATAAATATGATTGTCTGGCAAAAGATTTTGAGAATATAGAAACTATAAGCGAGATTGAAATGGAAGCAAGCTTTGAGATCCCTTAGTCACTGAACAACTGGAAAACAATGGTGTGGCCAGCTGAAGGTGATCCCCTTTTGATGAAGTAACACCCTCTGTTTGCAGGCAGGTCTGAGGGTCAGAGCAGACCCTGCCAGCTTGGCAGAAGGGGTCCCAAAGAGGAGTTTTTAGGGTTTAAAATGTAGCACAGTATGGTGATGTAGTGATTCTTATAGGCTGTATGTAAATGCTATAGGATTTGTATATTGTACTAGATTGGTTAGTGAGAATTAGAATATTCAGCACTGAAGAAGATTTATTGTATTGGAATGGGAACTTTGCTTTCTTATTTCTTGCCTGTCTTAGCTCTTACCTCTTAACCTGTTTATTCTCTTACCCCTTTTACGCTCTTATGCTTTTACCCTCTCATCCTCTCTCCCCCTCTCTCCTCTCAGTCCTGCTCCGAGCTGTGGCTGGCAGCTCCCAGCAGCTCCCTGCACTTGGCCCTTTGCAATAAACACCAAGTTCCACGACCAGAAGAAGATTTATTGTAACAGGAACTTTTCCCCACTCTCTCATCTCTTTACCACGCTCTTGCCTTCTCTCCCTTTACCCCTCTCTCCTCTCAGTCCTGCTCCAGCTGTGCCTGGCAGCTCCCAGCAGCTCCCTGCACCCAGGCCCTTTGCAATAAACACCAAGTTCCACGACCTGGCTCCAGAGATCTCTCATGTCCGTCTGTCGCCACCGTGCCACCCCCCGATGCTCCTACAGCATGGTGTGACCAATAGCATTCTCCTGTGTGCACTGGGTGTGGGGGCTGCTTTGGGCCATCACCCAGGTGGGATTTCCCTGAGCATCCATCCCAAACACTTCCCAGGCTCATCCTAGAGAGCCCCAGCAGCCAGCACATTCACTCCAGGAGAGATCCCACATATCCCTGGAACTCCCAATGGGACTCAAGGAGAGGCAGAGTCCAAGGGAAGTGTCTGTGGCCAGCTGGATCCTTCCTCTGGCTTCAGCCCCAAAACCAGGGGGTATTTTTGGCACCAATATGAAAAAACCAAAAATTTCCCAGCTGGAAGAAGTGGCTCAATGGGAAATAGTTGATGGACCTCAGGAAATTTCAGCCCTAAAACTAAAGGAGGAAGATGAGTCCTGCCTTCATCCCTGCTTCATCCCTGCTTCATCTGCTGCTTCATCCCTTGGAGCAGCAGAGTCCAGCAGGTGTTGGGCTTGGGCTTGGAGTTTTTCATGCCAAATAAAGGCTGAGCTCAGGCCACAGCTCTCCCATGGCTCCGGTGGGATTTTTCCCTCTCTCTGCTGGAAAACCACAGGTTACATATCCCCCATCAAGCCAGGAGATGCAGCCAAACCAAAACCTTGGGGCATAAAAGAACCCCAAAAGTGCCAGGTTTTGGCCCATCCACTCACCCCGAGGAGGTGCCCCACGGCCACAGAGAGGCCGATGGAGAGGGCAGGGGAGCCCAGGTTGTCCTCACGCCGCTCGTCCGTGGAAGCAAAGACGCACAGGACCAGCTGGAAGGTGAGGAACAGCTCCACCGTCACCGCCTGCCCTGTCGTGGTCTCATTGTGCAGCTGGAACGGGAGGAAAAACATGTTCCAAATCCAGGTTCTGTGAGTGGGTGGGAAATATGGAGGAGGAATCCAAAACCAGGGGGAGACAAAGGAGACAGGGGAGATTTTTGGCACCAATAAGAAAAAACTTCCCAGGTAGAAGAAGTGGCCCAATGGGAAATGCTTGATTGACCTCTCAGGAAGTTTTATTGGCGATTTTTTGGTATTTCTTAATTTTTTTTCTTTTCCCCCTTCCCAAAATGCCTTTTGGAAAAGTTTACAAGTTGTATTTTGAAGACATTGAAAATAAATATTTTGGCATGTAAAAAGAAAAAAAAAATCCCTTTCCACACTTTTATGACTCAGAGAATTTGTCAGGTCTGATCTGGAGCTGATCCTCCAACTCAGTCCCTTCTTTCCTTGTCCCCTCCCAAATCTAATCCCATCGCTTGGTGATCCCAGGAAGGTCCTAACTGCCCTCCTGCATGAGCTCCAGAGTCAGATCTTCCTCATTGTCCTCCCTAATATTCCCCTCCCTTTTTACAGGGGTGATCTGTGCAGGCAGCCACACCATGAACAGCTCACAGGGGAAAAAAGCCTTCTCAAAATCCCAAAATCCCCAGTTCCCACTTTAAGCTGTGAACCAACAAAGCTGAGCAGTCTGAGTGTCCCTTAAACCTCCCGCTTTTATTACCCTCAGTCATTACCAGCCTCAATCTCCTCATTCAGACCAAACCACAATCCCTCTTTTTAACCCTCTTAATCACTCTGGCAGTGCTGCTGAGTCCTGGCAGTGCCTCCCTGCTGTGGGAAAGGCAATTTCCATGTGCTGCCTCCCAAGCCAGCTCCCTGCTCCTCCTTCATTCCCTCCCTTGGGGTTGGGTGATGCTGATCCTGATCCCCCCTGGGATGGGACAGTGAACCCCTGGATTTCAATTCCCTTCCCCCCTCCTATGGGGAAGGGGGTGTTGGACGCCAGGATATCACTGGAGAATCCCCCATGGGGATCCTGAGCTTCCCTGGCTTTATTTTTTCCCTGAGATCCTTGTGAAGCTTTAGGGAATCCGTGTGTTGGGTTTTGGGATGAACCAGCTGGATCTGGTGTGACCATCCCGTCACAGTGGGAGGCAATGAGCAGAATCTAATGAAAATCTGGGATTTAGACCCAAATCTCTCCTGTCCCCACCACTTCAGCAACCTGGGAATCGTGGCTTGGCCAAGGCAGAGCCAGGGGGGAATTTACGGGCTTTCCTCCAAATCAGAAACCCCAATCCAGGGAATCCCTGGGTTTAGAGCCAAATCTCTCCTGTCCCCACCCCTTCAGCAACCTGGGAATTGTGGCTTGGCCAAGGCAGAGCCAGGGGTTGGGATTGACTGGCTCTCCCCCAAATCAGAAACCCCCCAGGCACGAGGAGAGCTGGGGACAGGGGGTGGTGGGACCAGCACGGCATCTCCTGGGAGAGGAGTCAGCCCAGGAGAAATGGAGGGACAGAGGGGACAGGGAAGGTGCTCCTCTGAACCAGCACTAAAACCATGCCAGAGGAATCTAAATCTAGGGAATCTCTGGGTTTAGGCCCAAATCTCTCCTGTCCCCACCACTTCAGCAACCTGGGAATTGTGGCTTGGCCAAGGCAGAGCTGGGAAAAGGCAGCCTGTACCCACACCAAAGGGGAAATTGGGATGAGCCTGGGACAAGAGGGATGCAGAGGTGGTAATTTGGATTTAACTTCCTTAAACCCCTACCCCCAAAATCCAAGTCCCCTGAGTACAATCCTGGGAAAAACGAGATGGTTGTGACTCCAAGGGAGGTGCTGTGCCCAGCTGGATTCTTCCTCTGGATTCAGCCCCAAAACCAAGTGGGCATTTTTGGCACCAATATGAAAAAACCAAAAATTTCCCAGCTGGAAGAAGTGGCTCAATGGGAAACAGTTGATGGACCTCAGGAAATTTCAGCCCTAAAACTAAAGGATGAAGCTGAGTCCTGCCTTCATCCCTGCTTCTGGCAGGACCCTTGGAGCAGCAGGGTCCAGCAGGTGTTGGGCTGTGGCATTCAGAGGCACCAGGAATTCTGGGAATTTTTGGGAATTTTGGGAATTCTGGGATCCCTGGCAGGAGGTTTTGAGGAGCTGAGGGGGTTTTTAGGGATTTTTGGGTGGATTTAGGATGGAATTTCTCCAATTTTGGGCCTCTCCTGGTTCTCTGAGGAAACCAGGAGAAACCAGTGGGAATCTTGAGAATTTTGGGGAATTCTGAAAATTTTTGGGAATTCTGGGATTCCAGGCAGGAGGTTTTGGGGAGCTGAGGTGGGGTTTTAGGGATTTTTGGGTGGATTTGGAATGGAATTTCCCTGATTTTGGGCCTCTCCTGGTTCTCTGAGAAAAATCCCAGTGGGAATCTTGGGGAATCCTGAGAATTTTGGGGAATTCTGAAAATTTTTGGGAATTCTGGGATTCCCGACAGGATGTTTTGGGGAGCTGAGGGTTTTTTTAGGGATTTTTGGGTGGATTTAGGATGGAATTTCTCCAATTTTGGGCCTCTCCTGGTTCTCTGAGGAAAATCCCAGTGGGAATCTTGGGGAATCCTGGGAATTTTTGGGAATTTCAGGAATTCTGGGATCCCCAGTTGAAGAAGTTTTGGGTCAGCTGAAGAGGTTTTTAGGGATTTTTTGGTGGATTTGAGATGGAATTCCCCAAATTTTGGACATCTCCTGATTCTCTGAGGAAAATCCCAATGGGAATCTTGGGGAATCCTGGGAATTTTCAGGAATTCCAGGAATTCTGGGATCCCCAGTTGAAGAGGTTTTGGGGCAGCTGAAGAGGTTTTTAGGGATTTTTGGGTGAATTTTGGATGGAATTCCCCAAATTTTGGACGTCTCCTGATTCCCTGAGGAAAATCCCAGTGGGAATCTTGGGAAATTCTGGCATCTCCATCTGGAGTTTTTGAGGAGCTGAGGAAGATTTTAGGGATTTTTGGGTGGATTTGGGATGGAATTCCCATGGAATTCCCCCTATTTTGGTTCTCTCCCGGTTCTCTGAGGAAAATCCCAATGGGAATATTGAGGAATTCTGGGATCTCCAGCTGGAGGTTTTGGGGCAGCTGAGGG